CGGGAGTGGATTTCCTCTTGTGACTCAATTGTTTTATAGCTCGTTCTCTCATCATAAAGACTGATTATACGTATCATTTTCATTTTCTATTGTATTTGTCGTTGACCAGTCAGCATTATTGTCAAGAATCATCATCGTTTTGAATAATTCTAGTACTTAAACGACAAAAATAACTTGATTCAGTTCAACTTTCTCTTTCCATCTTTCTTACATAAAGGTTGCATAAATTGTCCTACCAGTTTTCTTACCATACCACTTGCTGTTTCGGATAATGTCACAAGAACTTTTAACGATAAATAGTGACGTACTTCTTTAGGACTTTATTTTGCATGGCCTAAAGTTACAAAAACAGAATACTATCAAATACAGTTTCCACAATAAGCGGGCTGTACTTCTAAACAACATCCGAGTATTTTATCAATTGAGGAGCGCAAAAATTTTGGTGATCTCAACCAATGCTGTTAATACCATATCGATATCAGGCTTCTGTAGACTATGTGTGACAGTCTAAAAAAGAAAGATAGTACATATTTCTTAGAACGCTCACACTTCCGTCAGCTAAACATGGTAAACAATCTTTGTAAATATTTAATATTTGATTATTTTTTATGTACTTTTTAAGAAATGTTGTTAGAGCTGTTACAGCCGTGTATCGAATCTAAATGCGAGCCAACACAATAAATAGGGAGAAGAAGACATGGTGCTTACTTTGACACAGTGTGATACTTTGGAGTTACCGCAACCTTAAAATTATAACGCGGTACATATAAGGAAAAACCGTTCGCTTACTTGACATTTCAAATAATTGTTTTTTTAATAAACATGCTCTGTGTTCTGCATGTGGCAATAGACTTGCTTTCGCTTCATTGTAACGGTCTATGCGACATATTCACTTGATAATGACCGTATAAATAGGTCGAAATGCGTGTTTCGTTAATTATTCTATTTATTTTATTAAATCCTTAATTATGTTAAAGCAAGTTAAGGGTATTTCAGCCGCAATTGCACTAAAGTTCGTAATTGGAGTTGGATTGGTGGATATGGATATCCATCAATCGAAGGCTCGAAAGAAAAGCTAATAATATTACTATAGGTTAATCAAGTTAATTATAATTAGACTAATCATCACCGCTATTGGCTACAAACCGCGATGAACCCTTTTGTTTCCGAAATCACATGCCGTCGGTAAAATAGATTAAAACTGCGATTCCAAGAGTTTCTTTTGAGAATCGCCACTCGTAACGCCTAGTTCCACCTAAATCCACTCTTAAACGGGAAAACTGTGTGTTAGCACGGCGATGTAATGTGAATGGTAATTTGTTGGTAGGTGGAAGTAAAATGTTTTTTAATTCTTTTCCAAATGTCTCAGGCTTTTGTCGAATGCTCAGTTGAAGATATTATGAATGAATATAATTTAGACACACTATCTCGTCTTCAGTTATACTATGTTACTATTAACATAGAACAGTTGAGAGAACGAGAGCCAATGCTGATCCTTGAACAACTTATCCTTCGAAGTACTTCTCATAGCACCGATAACGGTGAAACAGATCTAATACTAACAATTCAGTAATTGTAGAATATGTTGTTGCATAGTCAATGAGTATAAATCACTGTCATGGTTAACTGGAGTTTGAATAAAAGATTTTATTCAAATGCTAAATGATAGAGATTCTATTTGAAAAGTCTCACCTAGTTGTGAATGAAAGTTATTTTTCTTATTACGTGGTAAACACGAGAATTCCACGACACATTAGAGGCGAGAAATAGGCCCAGATGTTTATGAAGAGTAACTTCATGAACGTGTTTGTTCTGAATTAATAACAGTGAATGATATGAATGTAATGTTAGTGCATGTTTATGGAATTACTCGACGACACATTTCTCAAAATTTAAAATTACTTGCCATGTGGAACACCACTGCACTATTTTTTCACGATCTTTGTTTATTGTGTCAGTTGATTTTCCAAGATAAGATAAGTAGTGAAACAGACTAGTACCATCGGCGTACAAATTGAAGTAAGATAAAAGATTAAAAAAAAAAAAAAAATCATCAGTATAAATGAGAAACGCGAGAGGACCTAGAATTGATCCTTGTGAGACGCTGTAATTCCCAGATCCCACGAAAACCCACTAACAACTGTTCTGATTTTTCTATTTTTCAGATAACTATTAATCTACTTCACAGCTTGTTCACACAGCTCTTTTTGTCTCAACTTGAAATTATTCCCCGATGCCACACACTATCGAATGCTCTTGAGAAGTCAAGGAATATAGTTCTTACATAACCTTGTTCCTCAAGACCTTCATGAATATAGTGGATAAGATTTAACAGTTGATCAACACACGAGTCCCTTCTAACGAGGCCAGAGGGATGGGGCGATAATTTTCTATTTTGTGTATATCACTATTCTTCTAGACTGATAAGACATAACCGATTTTTAGTTTTGTTATTCTAGGAAAATTTAAAATTCTGACAACAAAATAAATCGACATATAGTTTTCTTCAAAGCAAACTAAAATCAGTTATTCTTCTTAAGAAAAGCTTAGAAATTCCTTCTTTAAATTTTTTATCAGGTAAAAAAAAATTCTTCTGTGATATTTTATGTTATTGCGAATTATAGTTGTCGTTAAATATATTCAATGAATGCATCTATCGTGTATTTTTTGTTTGAAAAGTGAAACTGATATATAATATTCAAAGCATTGAACGAATATTGTCTCATAACTTAGTCATTTTTGTTTTCTTGTGTGAACAGAAACTCTGCCTATAGCTGTTGTTTTTAAACGAGAAGACAGTTCAAACATTCTTAATGCTCACAATAAATAAATGTTTGTGTCCATTCAGTGAAGATCAATTGATGTACAAAGCGATGATTGTGACCATCTCGTCTCCTTCGTGTCTCGTTTCTTTCGATGAGTACGGCAACGAAGAAGAACATCTTCTCTCTGAACTTCAACTTCGAACCGAAGAAGAGGAAGAGGAAGAAGAGATCTTGTGGGTTCCATCTCCTCCGCCGATGCCTGCAGAGAATGATGAGTTGTCAGCGACGTTTATGTCTTGGTATTTGGCGGGATATCATACTGGATTTTATCAATCGATGAAAAATAAATTCCCGCAGAAAGATGAACTTGATTTTCAGATTCGATGCCGCGAAACGTCGAAGTGAAAGCGCAAGTCGAGGAAGAATTCTCTGCGTTGCTCGCTCGTCTCCAACTGATCGCTGATGGATCTTCGATCGTCTGTCGTCATCGCACACTCCGAAATTGTCCAATTATTCCATCTCTTCCGTTGCGCATCCGGATGAATTAATCGTAAGTTCTCTTTCAGATCGATGCTTCGTCCGACCTGTTTTTACTGGTCTATCTACGATCCGCAAATATCCTGCTCGATCGATGAAATCGATCTCGTTCCTCACGATCACGCCATTCGCCGCGCTTATATATTGCGCAAATAGCGAACTCATCCGCACCCGTCCGCATTCTTCATCGGTCACGTTCCGCTGTCCTGCACCGAAGACGAGCTGAAAGAACTTTTTCCTCACGCCACGTCGATCGATCTGATTCGAGATATGGTCACACGAGAATGGAAAGGCTATGCCTTTGCTGATGGTTGGATCGATCGAAAGAAGGACTATCGGTGGAATGGACATTTACTCTTCGTGGAAGACGTCGCCTCGAAGAAACTTATCAGGTTGAAACAGAGACGCTGCGGAGGAGGTCTCGGAGGAGATAAACAATCGGGACAATTGAGACTCGGAGGAACGCAGCGACCGTTCAAACGACCTTTCGAACACAAATTGGCCGACGATGTTCGACGACGTTGGACGTCGCTCCAGAATCTCGCTCGACGTTAAATTTTTCTTCTTCTCTTCAGAATGTTCTTTCGTTGACTCTCGGCGGAATTCGTGGCCAAGTGAAGAAACATCGCACATTGTTCCTCGTCGGACAAACTCGCATTCATCTCTGTCGGGTCGAAGGACGTTTGCCGTCGATCTTCATCAAACTGGAAATCGTTCTTCGCGATGATCAAACGCCCGAACAAGGTCGACGCATCGCCGAGGAACTCTGTCAACGGATTGGAATCGAAGAGAAGAATCATCTGCATTGTGCTTATATCGATCTGTTGTTGATCTCCAAGAAATAAACGCGCGACTCTTTTCCATTGGTTGAACAGAAGACAAAGGATGGACCGATGTGTTGTTCGAAAGCATTCGTTTCTCCTTACTCTCTCTCCGCGCTTGACCATGTCTGCAGAGGAACAACAGCAAGCAGCGAAGGAAACGCTCGATTACGAATGTTTGCAGAAATACAACGAGAACAATGCGAGCTTCTCGATGGGGTGTTCGATAATCTCGATCATATTCGGTGTCTCACACTCGATCAACAGATTCAAATGATTATTCACCAGCTGGATCAATATTTCGCTGGTAGGTAAACGATGAATGAGGAACATCTTTGCATGTCTTTCAGGACAGATCGACCGACGAAAAAATGCCTCGACGCGTTCGAAGACAAGTCCATCAAGACGCTCAACCACGAATTGATCGAACTTTCCCTTTCGGAGAATTACAAAGCTTTAGCGATTCCCGAAGATGATGAACCATAGAAATGTGCCGATCTCTACTCCAAAGAGGTGGTCGATTACGGTCTCCAATCGCTACTCACTGGAAATCGTCTGAAGTTCTACGGCCTTGGACCTCTAGCCATCGCACCACGGCGTAGCCGACAGAATAGTGCCTGCAGTACGCAGAGCAGTGTGCGCTACGCCAACGGCGCCTGTTGGTAAACGACGCGTGATTCAATCGATTCTTTTGCACGTACAACGAAAGTAAATCAGCTGGAACGAAGGAGACCTTCAGGGAGGCGCTTGCCCGTTTGATTCTCTAGGAAGAAGATATTCGAAGAACTAGTCGATACCTAATCGGTGAGGATGGAGCAGCTCGGTATGGAATTCCTACGGCTCTACGATGAAAAATTCAATTACCGCGAAGGACACACGGTGAGTGTCGCTAGGAGTCCTTCACTTTTCCAGGGCAATGCTCTCCTCGTCGTCTTCTCCTTCCCTAGTTCGTCATGCTCTTTCGGAAAAAGACTTGGTTCTTAACCATAGATAAAACTCAATGTAAGTGATCATGACGGCCGGATCGAGCAGAATTTGTTGCTCTGTTCAGGTGTAAAATGTCAAGTGGGAGAAAAAGAGCCACAATCAGTTTTGTTACTGAGCTACAACGGGCCCGTCACGCCTGTGCACGTTTTAATCAATGTTTGAATGAAATAATCTCTGTTCTTTTGTTTTCTCTTCATTTGCATTAATACACTCGGACCATCGTATGTGACACTGTGGTTTCGCTATCGATCCAATCGCGTCACGTAACCATAACCAGCTGCTAGGAATGCCGACAAAGCTGAGGCAGTGAAGTCCACCGTACGCCTGATTCGGATCACCGCCCAATATTCGACTCAATCGTCGACCGACAGGAGCTAACAAAAAGACAGCGATACAACTCGTGCGAACATGTTCATTCAATGTACAACAAAAGTGAATGCATGCCGACGATGAAAGCTTACTGTGGAATCCACCGAGCACGTTACGCTGTATCCACATATCCGCTCCGAATTTTCGTGCGGGAGCTGCGTAGTAAGCGACGTTATTTCTGTTCATTTTGGAGACCGGATGAAGGTAATCGAATATGCAATGAATGCGAACGAAATGCGGAGACTAGGAGTATCCTTAGACGATCACTTAACCATGACTAGCGAAGACATAGTCGGGCGTCGAATACTCAATCAGATACATCATATAAGACACGTGAAGGATTTAGTGAGGATGAAAATCAGCACTGTTTATTTTCTGCTCACGCCACGTCTACTCACACAGCAACAGTGGAAAATAAAGCAGCTTCTAGCAAGATATTCGAAGTGTTTCAATAATCGGCCGATTGTAGCTGGCTTGTCATGTGTAGATCATCGCCGCGTTCGTCCTTTTGCTCTTGTGTGCGTTCGATTGGCTGTGTGATCAATTTGTGTGCGACACGGTGACGAGGTTCCACACCTAGTATATCCTCTTTGGCAATCTGCATTTCAATCAACCCTTGACGCTATGCTTCATTCCGTGCGAATGGCTCGAAAGCATGGTAAACCTTGTTCATAAAACGGGCAAGGAACTTTTTATCGATCGCACTCGTCGCTTTTATACTCTCGATGAGCGCATTGATGAGATAACGCATTTTACTATTCATATCGATGCTGATCAAGGGTGGCATTTGCATGAGTTCTTCTTTCAGATCAGTCAGTAACTGAGCATTGTTCGGCTCACTGCCACGCTTATTCGCCGCTTGCTCGATGAGAGATATACCGGTTGGAACCTCGAAAGCGTCAAGTACATTGGCAAATCTTCGTACACTCAGCATTCTTGTATCCAAACGAGTCCAATCCAATTTCAAATTCATTTCTGTCTAATTATTAGTAACTCATATCAGGCTATTACACCATGCTTTCCGATTTTTGGTTTATTCATCTTCGTGGAAACTCTTGCTTCCTAGCAAAATCTTTTGAAATCTGAAATCGAATCGCAAAATGTAGTGTGCTAGACTGCCCATGAGTACTGTTCATTGGCACATACGCACTCAACTTTCCAGTACACCATGGACGAAAAAGTCGATCTTCAGAATAGATCATTTCTCATTTTCTACTTACCTCTGAATCCATCCGCATAACAACCAAGAGAATTTTTCAACATTTTCAATGACATGTGTAAGATGCACGCAGTTCAAAGGAGGAGCAGAAACTTTTTTCTCAACGAATTATACATGGTTGAATAGAGCTCGTCAAGCTAGTTCAGAATACGTGTGAGTCACTTTTTGGAAAATCTTCTGTGACGAGAAATTTGCGCATAAATGAAAAATGGGCTCTGTGCCAAAACCTGACATCCATTAGCGCAAAATCGACTTTTTATACGGAGAATAGAATCGATTAAAATTTTTTTCTGAAGAGCTTATTATATGAATCGACGATCAGCAAAGTATCTCTTGATTCAAATCACTTTTCGCATTCTGGCGCGAATAGTAGCGCGTTTTAAGTGGCGCCACTATTCGCGCCAGAATGCGAAAAGTGATTTGAATCAACAGATACTTTGCTGACTGTCGATTCATATAATAAGCTCTTCAGAAAAAAAATTTGAACCGATTCTGTTCTCCGTATAAAAGTCGATTTTGCTGTCACTTTAGCTGTCGGTGTTGCAGGTATTGGTTATCATCATATAATAGTATTCAAATATCTAATATAAAAAATACCCCAAAAATATTCTCGAATACATACAGCAACGGGATGATTTATTAAAATCAACAATAGCTTCTGTGATATCTACAATCGAAAACGAAAAATTAATTGTAGAAGAATTAAATAATTCTCGACGCTCAATTAATGATCTAAGAGAACGATACATGTATCTGGCTGTCAAAAGATGAAGCTAGTTATACAATACACTATTACAATGTGCGCCGAATTTTTTTATGCAATTCGAACAGCCTATGTTCTTAACAGCAAATCGCTTATTAAAATCTCAATCGTTTCACTTTGTTATTATTAGCAACAACACGGAAAATGGGAATCAAAAAGTAAATGAGACTTCTTTGATTGCATCAATTGGTAATTTAATCATTACACAGGCGTTTTTTATTTCGAGTGATGACGATATTACTCAGTCGTTTATTACGTAAATAGTACATCGTTTTTCGACAGCAATTCCTCATATGAAGTGTTTGGACTTCCACGGTACATTGCTATCAACTATCTGCATAATACGGCGATTTCATGGTACAATAATGATCGTAATCTAGCAGCGTGTTACTTTGAAAATATATTTTTATATATTTATTTATTATATTGTAGATAAAAACGTCGAAAGCAAATCCTGGCATTATTCACATGTTAGTTTTGCATAAAGAAAAGAAACATTTAGTTTTCCTAATCTGCTCACAAAACCAAAGTGTAATCGAAAATGGTAAACATTGTAAGTTAGATTTTATCTGTTCATGTCCTTGGCGCTGTTTCTTAACTTATGTGTATTTATTTATTGGTAAAAATCGTGCATTTGATAGGAAAACACACAATCAACGCTCAACGATAGTATGATTTGATTTCTTGCATTTCTATGATAGCTATCACA